GGAATAACCTTAATAGTGTTATGAAAGAAAGGGATCTTGGTGTAATAGTCAGTCAGTCTGTAAAGCCATCCAAGCAGTGTGCTGTTGCTAGTAGTAGGGCAAATAGGATTTTAGGTTGTATCCATAGAAATATTGAATACAAGTCTAACAAGGTTACGCTTTCATTGTACAGGTCACTGGCTAGGCCACATTTGGAATATTGTGTTCAATCTAGGAGCAAATGTTGAATTTCATTTTAAAACTAAAGGTAGAACCCAATAAATGTATTACTATTATTAATGATAATTAATTGGGTCAGTGAAACTGAGAATAAGTACAATATCATAATGTAGAAAATTTTCTTTTTATCAACTGAAAAAATTTAAACATATGATGCATCCTAATTTCAATTCATTTAGATTTTTTCTTGCATAACGTTAATCGCTATTCTGAGTATTTATCTGTTTTCACAATCGTAAACTTTTTTTCCTCTTCTTGTTGCTACTTTATTATTCACAGGCCCTATTTAATAATTAGGTAAACATAATTAATTTACCAGCATAAAAATAAACAAGTTAGCAGTTTTTCAAGTTTTCATGACTCACCGTCAGAGTTCAATCTAGGCGTTAGAGTCCCATCGATTCGACTACACCACAATGTATGTCCCCCATCAACAATTATGTAATACTCATTGTTCATGAATAACTCCATTATTACAAAACAGTACAGTTTATTACAGTTTATCAATAAAATAAATTATATGACTCATAATAAAAATTACCGAGAAACCATAAGTTACAGAGATTTGCACCTTCCTCTACACAGTATGAAAGATTAGCTGTTAGTGTTAGAGAACGATTACAACAAACGGAGCCTTCTACTGGTATTACAAATAGTTACAAGATAGTGAATAAAATAACTATTGAGATAAAATATGTTACCTTTATTCTTTAAATAAATAACCATAACTTTAAAAATAAAAATCTCCAAAATACGAATTTGCAAAATCTGAAAACAAGGATTATCTAACGTCAGGAGTTAATAAGTTACTATAGATTAGCTAATGTTAGTATTTTCATTTTATTTTCCTTTTTGTTTTAGAAACGGTGGATTTGATTGTAACAGCGCACGGCCACACCTTAGGCTATCTGCGCTCTGCCAACTGAGTGGAATCAAGCCCTGGATTTTAGCGTTGTAAGTCCGTACGTTTGACGTACTTGGACGCTGAAAGGATCATGTGGACTCTGACTGGGTAAGCTTGGGAGCTGAGTGAGCATCGTGGCATTGGTCAGTACTTATTTCCTACTGAGTTTGGGTTCATGTAGCAATGTACCAAATTAAGAATTTGTTTCGGCTAAAGTATCAGTCAATTCGGCCAAAAACAACAGACTAGATATTATTGTACTGACGGTTGATTGCAGCGTCGTTCCAAATCTCGTGCTGCGTTAGATAGTACTTTCACCATAGTCGATCATGTTCATTTTAATGGTTATGATTAAATACAATTACTTGATATCGCAGTTTCCAATGTAACAAGTTTCTGTGAAGGATAGCTAAATCAATATTAGAAAACGCATATTAAGCAACTTTCCAAAGATCATTCATTAACGTCAGCCCTTAAGACCATATTTAAGCAGACCAAAGCCATTGGAGCTGTACACGGAGGAGGGGATTGAATGGTATGAGGAAGAATAGAATTGTTGCGTCCTCGAGATCACATGACTACAGTGACGCCACGTTTCTAGAACTATCCCATATCTTGGCGAATGCTCTAGT